CATCAAAATTTAAAAAACGTTACTAAAAAAGGAAAAGGAGAGTCCAAGAAGATGAAGAATCTGAGGCTGAAGACAGTAGGCCTCTATGGGGCTAGCTATAATCATCATCATCATCGTCGTCTAAGTTGTGGCCACCATCTTGACTTTTCTGATGTCTTGACTTTTCTCTGGGGGCACTCTTGATCTTTACTAACCTTTATGATTTTATAATTAGTGTATTCAGAATACACGGGAAATTCAATATGTAAAGCTAACTCTTTTTTGTCCATAGAGATCTATAATGAAAAGGAGAGATTTATAATTAAAAAGAAAGACTTACTTTCTTTTTATCTCTCTTTCCATCCATCCATCAATACATTTCCAACATTTTTCTGGTTATGAATTTCCCACTATTTCCAAGTTGAAGCACACTTCCCATTTCTAAGATGCAGAGTTATGCATCACCATGAGGATTAGCTTGTCTTCTGAAAAGAAGTTCTGTTTTCTCTCACCACTTTCACACTTTCAGGCTCTCTGTTGCCATACCGACCTTCAATCTGATGTTTGTGACTTTAAAAAAGTGCATCTGGCTGGTCCACTAAGCAACATTAAACAGTCAGTTTGGGAAGCTGATATGGGATATCACGAGAGCAAATAATTGTACCTGTTTATAATGGAATGTTTTCCTTTAGGTTCCAAAATAACCTATGTGTCTTGACGTGGGGGTAGGAAATGCCATTTGATCCTTTGACTCCAGGAACAAAAGGTTGGGGGCTGTTTGTGCCTGATATTTTTATCCAATGATTGATTTATTCCATATGGACAATGTCCAAAACAAAAGAGATTACCAATCATAATTACAAAGAAATAAGAATCCATAAACCAAATTAAATTGGTAATGTTTAAAAAATCCAGTGCTGAAATGTTGAAATGAAAAATATTGTAGCATCAATTAGATTCCAAAATTAGATGGCTATATTTATTTCAGTATTTTATTTTAAAAATCTGTTATTCCAGGCTGAGACTCCTGGAGGCTGGATAATAGCATAATAGCCCTCTGAGTGTTCTTGTCCCTTCCTGCACTTGGACATTTATTCATCGAATTATTCAAATTAAAGGAAACATATTATATGATTTTCCTCCTTGAAAAATTATATAATATAATTCTGTGACTTTTGTGACAAATGTTCACTCACCGATGGACCTCCTATTAAACAAAATACATGGATTAATGTGATAATGAACAGACCTAGAGGCAAAATCCAAATATTTAAATGTTTATTTGAGGAATGCCTAATATTTAAATCTCTGTCGAACTTTAGACTAGTTGAATATCATGAAAGTCTAGGGTTTTTTTTTCCCATTGGTAAATTACTGCCAGGTTTTCTTCATTTCCCCTCATTTTACTGAGGACTAGTAACATATTTTTGAAGAAGAAATAAATAATAGTAGGATTCAGGTAATATTACAAGCCATACAATCTCTATGAGAAAGTCATAAATCCTTTTTGTAGTGGCCTGGCAAATGTTAATAAACACCTACCAAATTGGCTTGCTCATTCTTTAAATGGCAGATTTTGCTACTGTTATATCTTCATCATTTTTAATATACGATGAATAATGTTACATAGAGATGACTATAAGGTTTTTATTATGGCATAATATTTTTAATATAAGCTATGTACTGGCAGCATTTCTTAATTCCTGAGATAACCTCCTTACTA